GTATATAATTTTTGCAATCTAAACTCATTTCTCTGGCACGATTTCCCTTTTTTGCAGTCTAGTACTATTTTTTTTTTTTTTTAGTATTAGTAATATGCCAGCTTTTTTACTAAAGCAGGAAAAATAATTGACCGAATTGTAAATATACTGGCTTGGCTTTGCTTCAACAAGAAAATGAATTGGTGGACCTAATCAGACATTTATTTAGTGATGTTTGTCCCTTCTAAACTGCAACCCATTTAAAACCCTAGATGTCATGCATTCATTTTTTTTCCCACATATAAAGTAAAAATAAGACATTTTGTAAGAGTTTCCTAAGTTTTGGGTGTAAAAATGCATGTTACCGGCAACAATTACATCAAAATGTGTAATTCTATTATTGTAAAGTACCATCAAGAAAAACTATATGTATTCTATAGTAATGGAATCTTGAATAGTGGCCGATACACTTCACCCAAATAAAATAATGGAATTCAGACAATTGTTGGCTTCATGAACTTGCTTTTCTTCCTGCAGACATTTTCTTCCTGAAGACATTTCATTTCCAGGCTAAGTGTCATCATCATTGCATGGAGGAATAGAGTTTGCAGGGTTTTGATATGCAGTCACCTAGCCTAGTAATTAAATGTCTGCAGGAAAAGAAGCTCAAAGAACACTAAAGACCTAAGAATTCAACCCTGAGGTGCATATATTCTCCTTTCGACAATCTTAGAATTTTACTAAATACAAAGCTTTCTGACAGGATTAAGCTGACTAAGGAGATTGATCTTTATAAACTGTGCCTCCAGGCTAGTGTGACACATCCTATTTGGCCATGATGTAGCATGACGTTTGGCTTAAAAGGATTCATTTGGCTTGTTTGACACGTTAAATAACAATTGGTGAGTATTGTGAATGCTTATGTTACTTCTTAACCAAATCCTGCACAGCTACTTAATCAGCCATGTAAACTTTCCCAGGTTTCTTATATTTTTTACTGTGTGTTTTGTTAAAATGTATACTCCAGATACAGAGTGAGATTTAAATATATTTATATGTTTGTGTGTGTGTGTGTGACTTATAACAGTGATATTGAATAATTCTGACTAAATTAAACAATTCAGAATTTTATAAACATCCAAGACACTTGTATTTATGACCAACAAATATAGGAAGTTCAATAGTGCTAATAAATGAAAACTGTTAAAATGAAAATATAATAAGGTATTGCAATATGGAAAAGGCTGTCACTTCTTTGTGGCATAAGTTTTTCAGTGTCCACTTCATCAGGGGTGACTATTTACATAAACAGATATATGTACCCTGTACATGGAAAGAAGAGTCCACAAGTATGTGTGCATTTTACAAAGTGTGCCTTGTACACAGAGACAAGCAAGCAAGCAAATAAGTAAGCAAGCAAGAGTTGGTATTAAATGTGTCATAGAATTATCCAGAGTATAAATGAACACAGAATCCAGTGAAGTGAATAGAAGACGTAATTTGTATGGGTGTGATCCATAGAAGGCCCCTGCTGAAATGGAGTAAATGGAGATTAGTCAGGCAAGACGTCAATGTAATCATTTTCTCCAGCATCTGGGGAGAGGATGAGAAAAAGGTTATTGTTACATTTCTCTAATATTTCAGTGAAAAAAAGTATCAGTGTCAAATAGCTCACATTGTGGTGCTTAAATAATTACTGTTGATTCAAGCAATACAGTAGAAAGAGATAATTCACTACAGGATAAGGCTCAGTGGAAAGAGACATTCTGTCTATTACATGAACACCTCGTATTGTACAATCCCAAGGGAGAAACGCTTGCCTGCAGAGCAGAAATCTGTAGCAAAGAGGTAAGATGATTTCTTCTCCCCCCGCTCAACCATTCCTACTTTTGCTCTTTTAAATTCTTGCTGAATTATTACATTTTCAGTGTTACGTGTAGCTACACTCAAAACCTTAGAATGTTTGTATATTTCTATAGCATGTCCTTATCAGCCTTCCACAGCAAATAACTTCTCAATATGGAAAAGCAGTGCCTCCAATCAAAAGTGTCAAAGGGGTCAGTTCACTTTGGCAGAAATGTCCTTTGCACAGCAGTCAATTCAAACATAGTATCCCTCCAGTGTGGCATGTAGAACTGGGGTGCCTTTTCACATTCTGGAGCTGCATTGACATTTTATTGAAGCCGCTGCCAAAACAAAGTTGTTTTTAAAAGAATTTGCATAGACATACTATGCCTATTTTCCTTTTGCTTCTCTTTTCTACTTTGAAATTGACATAAAGGAACTTCGTTTTCATTGTAAAGTCTAATGGGATTATTTATAAATGTGAATTTAATTTAATAATTCAATTCAATTCAATTTATTCTGTTTAGGTGCTGCAGAATGACTTTGTTTGGCTCACAATATGGCAGAGAATAAAACATAATACAGCTCAAAAAGACAAAGCCAGCAACAATAGAAAAATGATAAAGACAAAGTAAAGAAAAAGATGGCTAGTCTGGCCAACAACACAAAAACATGTATCAACAAACTTGTAACCACCCTAGCCCAAGGGCTGGGAGCAGCTAGGTCTAAGGCCCTCCAGAATGCTATTGGTGAGAGCCACCCAGATTTCAGAAAGAACCTCATTCCAGAGGGCAGATGCTATGACAGATAAGGCCCTGTACAGGTAGTCCCCTGTACAGCTCCCCCAGAACAAATTCTGTTCCCAAGGTCTATCCTTAAGTCAAATTTGTATGTAAGCCGGAACAGTATTACTGTATAATGCTGTATAAGTAGTAGTGTGTAATTGAACCATTGTGTATTTAACTGGAATCATTGTGTATTTAACTTGAATTTTGCTACAGTAGGCTCCGTTCTTAACTATGGGTCATCTGTAACTTGGGCATTCTTAACCCAGGGACTATCTGTATATCTCTGTAATATTGGATTATAAACATTCTGTAGTGTGTAATTGAACCATTGTGTATTTAACTGGAATCATTGTGTATTTAACTTGAATTTTGCTACAGTAGGCTCCGTTCTTAACTATGGGTCATCTGTAACTTGGGCATTCTTAACCCAGGGACTATCTGTATATCTCTGTAATATTGGATTATAAACATTCTGTTAATTGCCTTCAGTTACTTCTACTAAGAGTTCCATTTTCAACATAAAATCAGTTATAAAGGACCTGATTCTTTCAAATTTCCAGTGCTTCTGAAAATACAGAATAGACTACTACTGTCAGACTGTTTCACGATCTATCCCAGTATAGTTCTATCCCTGATGTACATTTTAACATCTCAGTCTACTTCCCTATGTCCTTATACCTTTTTTCTAGGGCTTGACCTTGAGAATGCAAAGGAATATGTGACCGCTGAGCTATAGGGCATAGTCAGATGTTAGTGTTAAACTGCTCTCCATCAGTCCTTGAGCCAGGAGAAATATATGCCAGCACAAAATTTGCTGCCTTAATTGCTAAGCAACTAGTAATTTACTGTCATAGTAATAAGGCTAACAACTGGTGCTGTCCTTACTATTTTAATGTGGAACAAATTAAGAGCGATTGGTGGATTACTATAGTTTCATTGCCCTACCCCTACCTCCCCCCCCCCACAAAGCATGTCCAGCTGGCAGGATCACAATAATCACAACCATTCACCCTAACATGGGTGGGCTTAGGTGATACTTGAAATGTTGAGCTTAGCAACCTAGCAGGTTCCCCAATTAACAGGAGGCAGGTGTTGAGGTGGTCAGCTCCTGTGACCTGTCAGGCTATTTCTGAATGCAGGTCTACTACCATTCTAAATCAGTGCTGAATACGTGTCCAAGTATAGCCCAATTGATAGGTCCCATGAATAGAGGAGGGCCATTGGATGTAGCAGGAGGAGACAACGGATAAGTAGCAAGCTCCATTCTCAGAACTGCAAAAGAATAATCATGCAATTCTGTCCTTGTGACTAGCCACACTTATAAGTAGCCTTGGCCAGCTGTTGAGCTGGAAGTGTCATTGGCCTCTCCAAGCTAATAAAACCAGAAAAGCAGGGCCATGCAAAGCCACTGGTTATGAGAAGCAGCAGAAAGTGTATAATGTATCCAATGGTAACAGAACCAGCAACATAGAGGTGGCAGAACCAGGTGTTTTTCCCAGATTAAATCAACCATCAGTGCAGCACAGAACCAGTGCTCTGTAAAGCAAACTCTTTAAATTGTTTCAGTCCTATTTTCATTCTTCCAACCCAGTGCAATGCTGGAAAAATTACACAAAGGAGGTTAGGACTCTGTCAGCGCAGTAACTCTGAAAACTGAACAGAACCGGAACAGAATGGGTAGAAGCCAGCAAAAGAAATGGACTAGATCAGCCTGGGAGGGAAAGGCAAAGAAAAACATCTAGGTCAGGTCTGCAAAACATATAGCCAAGGGCTACATGCAGCCCGCAAGCAGCCTTGTGTGGCCCACCAGCATTCTCTGAAAACAATAAAGGCACTATCACCAAATGCCTGCACCACCAGAAAGGATCTACCTCTGTAGCCGCCCCAAAAGACATAGTGCTGAGTGCCTCCAGGCCTCACTGACACTGATAGCGCCATTGCTGCTAGCACCAAATAGCTTATTGGTGTACCCGCTTTTCCTTTGGGGTCCATGATTATTTTAATTTATCAATGTGTCTCAACAAGCTGTGCGGGCCAGTTCTAGAAAGATACTCTAATGCATTCCTATGGAAGAGACAGATGAACAGTTGCTTGGAATGTTGGCTCCCATGACTCAGAGAGGAGCCATTATTGAGAAGCTGGCAAGAATTCCAGTAGTCATGCTTTGCATGCTTTCCTTAATTTGTTTAAATATATTTTTATACTGCTTACTGCTTTAGTCTTTCCTTTTTTAATGTTTCCAAAATAAAACTTTTTGGACTGAACCTAGGCTTTGTCTTCTTGCAGCTTGAAGAGATTTTTCTATCCAGACAAGACATCCAGGCTTGTGAATTAATTTTATTGGTAAAATCTGAAAGAATATGGTTTTTACTAATTCATCAATCTCCCTGAATTTCATAGGCCCCCTCTAAATAAACTCCAGAGAGTTGAGGGACCAATATGCAGGTGCTTGGAACTGCAGGGAGAACAAAACATTGATGAGTATTCAATGAGAGTGCTCTAACTAGAATTTCATTCAGGGAATGCTGTCATTACATGCAGAAGCAAGCTCTGGACCCAGTACTGAATTTAGCCAAGATTGCTAGTTTAAATACTGAAATTCTATTGATGACAGGATAGGCATTTCTGCTATGGCTGTGCAGGGTCTCTGATCTGCTCCAAGGGCTAGATCTGGGCAAAAAGTAACATATCCCATTGGTTCATGCCAAGGAAAAGCCATATATTCTATCACACCAGATCCAGTATGTGGGCGATGAGGCAGAATTTGGCCAGCAGGCAGACTATTTGAATACCAAATCCATGGCCAATGCTTTCCTAAAAGAAGGTAGCCCTGAATGATAATAGTTACAGCCACCTCCAGCCCCATAATGATTTAAAAATATGTGCCTTATGACTCACCTAAGAAGTGCTGAGAAAGGAAGTGCTCATAACTTGTTAAACAGAATGTGATAAAATTTACTGCAAAAGGGTCTTTCATAGAAAAAAAAATCTTACAGTAGATTTCAGACAGAAAAGTTAAGTGAGTTTTGTGCAAAGAAAATAGGTGGTTTTTCTTTTTCTTGAATGGAAAAAAAGACACAAATTAGCATATATGAACTTGGATTTCACTTTACTTTTTCCCATGAAATTGTAAGGCTTTTTTCCTTACTCCTAACATAAATGATATTCTTATAAAAATTCTCTAAAGCAGATTAGGAAACCTGTCCTTCCTTCCTTCCTTCCTTCCTTCCTCCCTTCCTCCCTCCCTCCC